ACCGCTTACCTGCCGCTCTCCTGCCGCTCTCCTGGCAGCTCGCCTACCTCTCTCTACCTTCCAACCTTCCAACCACGTCCGACAACGTCGCCTCCTCGATCTCGCAACACCGTCGAGTCTACCTCGACGAAACCCGGCAACGTCGCTGCATCGGGCCCCGATACTGTACCTCGGACCCAGCAATGCCTCCGCTCTCTGCTCGACTTTCTTACCGTTACCATTCTAGCACGTGCGTTATCGGCGCCAGCCTTTGTTCCACGATCGCGCTCCATCGACCACGCTCTCTCTACACACCTAGGCACGGGGACATTGTCCGAATCCACGATGACGCGCCGCGTTCTGCCCCATGGACGTGGCATGCCGGTCCAAACCACCACCATGCAGGGAATACGCGTACACGTACGCGATCGGGTTCCAGAGGTCTCCTCGAATCCGATTCGATAAGGCGTATATCTCGCGTCGCGTTGATCGATGTCGTCCGAGGGTAATCGTAGGAACGAAGCGTTTCTGCTTATCCGTTCCATAAATCCTGCCTGCCGAGGAGCCGCTCGGACCCGTTCCCGGAACTCCGTCCCGTTCGAACAGTCCCGCTCTTTACACCGCTGCAGCTTCTCTATTATTAGCCATTTCCAACTGTCACTCGCAGCCTCTATTGAATTCTTCCGAGGTCTAATTGACGCCTAGATCACCGAGGCTGTCCCGTCCCACGGTTCGAAAGAATACGAACGACGACGAGATTCGAAAAGCTGCGACGAGTCGCGCGTGGAGGTTAAGCCGCAGCGAGCAGGGACACGATATTCGCTAAGCCGGTACCACTCCTTTGTTTCATCTCTACAATAGGATAGAGAAACTCGGTCCAGACGCTAAACCGGTCAGACCCTGGCGCAGCCGAACCGGAGCGGAGAGTCCTGCGGCTGGTCGCGGAGCATCGCGACGCCATGGAAACAAGGCGCGGTTCCAGGTCCTCCTCGGAGTGATACCAGCAACGGCCATGTATACGGAACATGTCCACCCACGCCCGCTATCGCGTAGTCGCTTTCCCTGGACGCTACCGTCGACTGCCTTTCGTCGACCTTGGAATTCCTGATTCTCAGGCGTCGCGCGTCCACCGACACGCGCAGTCGCTCGAACAAATACGAGGTTTGCGGCGTCGTCGGAGTTTACCGTGATGGACACGCGAGGTCGCGCGTAAGACGCGTGTACCGCTAGACCGATACCGATATCGGGTGGACCCGTTTCATGGTCGTGAACGTGGATGGACGAGCGCATCGGGCAGAGAGTCCGTGTCCCGGTTCGGGCGTCAGCGTGGAAAAAAGTAAAATACGCGGTATATACTCGAAGACGTCGAAGACGGTAGAAGAGGTCATCCCGTCGGGCGAATCGGAGAGGAGAGGAGAGGAGAGGAGAGGAGAGGCTGAGTAAAACCGCATGGCCCCGTGAGGGCCGCGTGTAACAAGAGGCTCTTTCATTTCGTGGCCGCTGAAACGGCGGTCGGATCGACGACAAAAACTCTCTCTCTCTCTCTTTCTCTGTTCCTCTCTCTTTTGCTCTATCCTCTGTTCGAGAGAGGCTGAGAAGGCGCTTATCGCGCGTACACCGTCGAGAGCATTCCTGGAGTCTGTCTTGGCGAACGAGAACACGGCGCTGTTCGACGTGGCGTTAAGCGGGGACAGGCCGAGGGCGAGAAAAAATGGAGCGCTCGGCGAAGGAGTCAGAAATGAGATGCGATGGCGGCACGTCTGTACGCGAGGTTAGTATACGGGAGAAACGGTCGTTTACGAAATGAGAAAGAAATGTAAACGATGAGCTGCGGAGGCGGAGGAAAGGTGAGCAGCAGGCGGCCGGGCCCGATAAGAAAGAGCACGTGCCACCTCGTTA